GAATCGGATATCCGTCTCACCAACTAATGTTGACATAACATCTCGCGTTGACAGGAATAAATAGGTTGAAGTCGAACTTGCATTAAGGTAATTCCTCAATATTGCACTGCATATGTTGACTCCGTGGTAATTACAGGATGATTTAGCAAATTCAACTGGGTTGATGACGTAAATTGGTCACTGTAAACAGTTTAAAAGCTGACTTTTCAAGCGCATTTCCATAAATATTGCGACATATTGGTATAATTTTCGCCGTAGTGGGGAAAGTAAGCTTCTACTTCTCGACTAATTTTCAACTAGCACGTGCGAAGAAAGTGAAACGTGAGCGTGCGCAATACCGTAACTTGAAGAATTTTATTTTGATGACGTCACGAAAAACAAAGGTTTTGGAGTGATCCAAAAACGCATATATTGGGCGTGTTCCAGACGGTGAGTTTTTTTGAAAATTTGCAAATGGACAGGATTTTTCTTTTTCTCGCTCTTAGAAAAGAGATATATAATTTTATTCATATATTAATGTAATACGGGTTAAAAACGAAAATTGTGAATTCCCCCGAAAATTATGTACATATTTTCTTCTGGCTTTATCAGTAGAAACTCCATAAATGTTTATTCTGTTTCCCCCAAAACAAAGAAAATTCACCCCATAGAAACCTAGAAACACTGTCGAGAAGTCAGTCAGGTCAAAAAAACAAGCCTGGTGTCTCTGTGGAGAAGGGGCAAGTATTGTACATTGCTCGACCGTACCACTCGCGGTGGAGAGAAAATTAACCTCGTACCCAAGTTTCTTCCGCGGCTGTGTCCAGTCTGCTTGTTCAAAGCATAGCCAGAAAGAAGCGAACTTGGAAATTCAGGTACAAAACGCTCGTTTCCAGCGAAATGCGCGTGGAGTTTTGGCATTGAGACATGTCTCAGAGTGCAATGATCTTAGATATGGCTGAGAGAAATGCCGATCGGGAGGATTTTCGGTGCGCAAACCACCTCCGCACGGACAACGGTCGATATCGGAGTGTGCAGCCTTGACTTCGTCTTTTGACAGGATTAACAGTGACGGTAAAGCAAGCCTAAAACGGAAGAAATCGCCAGAAACTACAACGGACACACAGGATAAGAGTAAGTGTTTTTGATTTTACGTGTTAGATTGCTGTAGGATTATAGCACGTTTATTAAGGCCACAAACGAGATATTTAATAACCCCATCCGAGTTATTTAACGGGACGCTCAAGTTATTCAACGAATAGAACTATTTCTATCTAAGTTTGCGATCTTTTTAGCTCAAAAAATCTCTATTTAGTAATTCATTTTACCAAAGAACTCATGCAAGTGCCTACTCACCTTTCAGGCGTGGGGACCCTTGTCTGCGGCAAACTCTTGTGCCTGGTTCTTTAAATACTCTGGCTCTTTAAATATTCCGACAGTCTCCCCGCGTGGTGAAAATTTGGGATCGAAAGGAAAATGTTGTAATAAACAATTTGAATGAGTCAGACACGTTCCCGAGGCCACAAACGTGATAACAATACTCTATACTGAAAGGTATAACTCAGCAGGTTGTCTCAATATCGTATCGAATAGAATCTTATCTTGTTCGTCATATTTCTGACTCATTCAAATATTCCAGGTTGAGATAGCTCTTGATCATATATTTGTGGTTTCATTCACACTATTTTGATAGACGA